AAAAGAGAGGGGGGGGGGGGGGGGGGGGGAAACTTAGCAAAGGTGATGATTCTAAACTTCAAAACCCTCTACATTGAGAATCACCAATATGTGATATATTATTAACTCTTGCTTCTAAATTAAAAATGTAATTATGGTTTGCTACGTGGTCTCATGTAATAATTTCTCCTTTGCAGCAGTACCCTCAGTTCTGCATAACCTGCCCTTGTCTACTACTCTCTTTCCCATTTTCTAACAGCTTCTGAGCAGAAACATAGTTAAGATCAGCCACATTGTCACCACTAACATAGACTACTCGGAAAATATCATACTTCATGTCGATAGAGAAACGTTCAAGATATGGCATCATCCAATTTCTATGGTCAGAGTTGAGAATCCATGAATAACAAAAATGGAGACACTTCCACACATGAATGCACACCACTCTTGGTTTGGTTTGTCCCTTGAAGCAAAGGCCTGAGGTTATGCCTTCCATTTTGGCAAAGCGTGACCTTAGAATTGCTAGAACAGCATAGCAGAGGTCATTAAGGTCATTAGTAGTGGTGACTGCTGAGTTCAAGGATATTATGTCCCCACTAGAGATTTTTGCTGTTGAAGAGCCATCTCTTGATTCTCCACCGTATGCTTCAAGGAAACTGTGATCAGTTAAGACAGCCATGCTTGATATGTTCTTGGTTAACATTGATTTCTGTTAAGTGTGAACAACATGAATAAATAAATAATAACAATGGATTAAAGGGAAAACTGATCAGTGTATGTTTATGTTGTTGATTAAGGTAAAAGATTAAATGAATATTTGCCTCTGCCATACATGGTCTAAGACCACTATGGTCTTGACCAATCTTTACATTACATATAACTCAGTGTTATTATTTCTTTCTCATAAATTACAAATTTTAATTACGACACACCAAGATTGGTTGGGTTAAGACCAAGAATACGTGATGATTCTAAACTAACTGTGCAGACATTGAGGATACCAGTGAAGTTCACATATATTTTAACGATCCAATAAAGAAACAAACCCCATCAGCAGTCATTGTCAAACTTACAAGGGTTGAGGTTAGCTGCTCTTTTTCCTTACTGGATCGCCTCTGCCATGCTCCATACCATATGATCTGATTAGAACACAAATATTCAGCTCAAGTTAGCAAATCAAAAAACGGTATATATGATATACCCAGTGAAAAGATAAACCCAAGAAATTAGCACTAACACATAACAGTATAAGTGAAACAAGGTCAATATTGTCTTACTTACCTCAAGTGAACAAAAAAAAAAAAAACAGTTGGGTCCAAGGAAAACTTTAATCAATAAAATCAGTGTAGAAAATTAGAATCTGTGCTTCTAATTCAGAAGGAAAACTTTAATCAATAAAATCAGTGTAGAAAATTAGAATCTGTGCTTCTAATTCAGGAAATTGATTACTATTGAGAAGCCACATGGTAAAAACAAACAACTAGATAATTGAACTCAATCATAGATGTTAAGCTGTATATCTATGAATTGATAACAGATTCAACCATTACAGATGGTAGACTACCATGCAACAATGGCATCTCAAGTTGTCATTCACTGAAAGATAGAAGTTCTTCATGAACATTGATCATGAACTTGTGGGTCCTAAATCCCACGTGGAAAACAAATCTGAAAATAAGAATGATACAATATAATCAATTTAGGGTGCAATCTTTCAGTTGTGGTCTTCCCAGCCAATGGTTGGTACAATTCAAGGATAACAAATGGGTTTCATAAACTACAATCAGTAAAGTTTCAAACAAATAGAATCCACTGGGCAAAGAAAGATCATACACTTCAGGGTTTAGATAATCAAGTGAGGAGAAAACATTCAAAATGAACTTAAACATGAAAAGCTGAGAAAGCAAAAAAAAAAAAAACTTACCATATTTCCATGGATGCTCCTAAATATAGAGCTTTGAATACAACCAAGACTCTCAGTGCTTAAGGAAAACTGTTTGAGGCCATGAACGAGGTCATCTATGATTACAATAGTTGGCTTGAAAACAAAGAAACTTAGGTCCAAATTCTTGTTGTTAAAAGGTACGAAACATGCCATCATATCTCGTGCTTGTATTTTCTAAGCAACTCTTTTAAGGTATCCTCCTTCCCAACTACTAAATTATACCAATGTTTTGTTTTGTATGCGAGAGTCTTCAAATACGAGAAGCAAACCATAAGACACGCAGGCATACATGCAAAACTGAAGCTTCCATCAATTCAAAAGTTCCTTTCTAGAATGATTCCAAATGTTGACTATGGGTGTGGAGGAATCACACTCGTTGCTTCCTTCTCCCTGGTCTGGTGTTGTTTCTTTGTAAACGACCAAGTCTTGTGAATGGAACCTATACACCGTCACACGTACGTGTATTGACTAGTTCAACGCGTTCACATCTTTTGTAACATAAAAAGATAACTTACGTTTAAGAAATTTCTAGTCGATCGTTGCCATGTGCATATTATTTTTATTATAATTTCTGGAAGCGAAGATGTTAGAATTTGATCGACTTCGATCACTTAACTTTCGATATGTTTAACAGAATAAACACATTTTTTTTAATGTGAAGGAGAACCACCTCTCTTATTCCAAAATATTTTTAATCGAATTAAATAATCATATTAATTAATTTATAAAACAAAATAAGATGTACTGACTATATCATTTTTACTTATCATTAAATTTTATGAGATTAATAAATATATTATTTTATATCAAGACTTATATATTAATCCCAATTGATAAATAACAATTTAAAAATATAAAAAGAGGAGAGAAAAAAACACTTATTTCTTAAGTTCTATTCTAACAATTTTATTTAAACACAAGATAAAAAAATAAAATTAATACTTTATAAAATTATAAAGTATCTTATAAAAATGATCATTATTTCTTTCTAAAAATTATACTTTATAATAAATAACATCGAACATCAAATATAACAAAAATGAAATTATTTAAATATTACATTTTTAATAAATTATAACATGCTCAATGCATTTTTATTCATATCATTCGATATAAAAAAGAAAATGAATAAGACTCTTCTGACAATTTGCTACAATGTAGATTGTAGTTTTGTTATATTAAAATTAGTGAAAAAGAAAATTTTACTACAATGTAAATTGTAATTTTGTTATATTAAAACCAGTGAAAACGAACATACTTTGTGCCTCCATGATAACTTCTTTTGAATACACAAATCAGTGAGATAGTGTTCAATTATCAACAATTTTAAAAATAAAAATATTTCTTTATAAAAGGATTTTTTTTCTTCTATCGTACGATTTATATAATATTTATAAAAAATATATTTGTCCTAAACATCAAAATAAGAAATTGACATTTTATTTATAGATATAGATGACATTATATTATTAAATAACCCTTAAGCAACCCCATGATATTAGTAATAGAAAGAAAAGAGGTAAAGCTAATGCAAGCAGGACCCACACGTGGCGGCTAAAATATAGCCGCAACAGCAAAAAATAAGATGAAGCTGAAAGAAGATTAGTGTCAGCAAAACTAAATGTTACGTTTACCAATTATTATTCATAACGGATACCATAAAATTGAATAATAATCCATAACTTTTAGCCAGCAAATTAGCTTCATCGTGGACGTAGACGTAGAGTGACTCACATTGACTGCAAAAGAAATTTAAGATGCGTTTTTTTAAGCTCTTAAAACTCATTGATAGACAATTTGTTTTCCGGCAATAAGAAATCGATTATAAATAAAATATTCTAATACAGCTTTCACGAGTTTAATTAGAAGAATCAGAACTCCCATCAAAATAATTTGTCCTTGTCATATCCAGAAATGCCACCTCTAGCAAAAATGTGGCTTTTTGGTAGAAATTGAGGATATTCTGTAAAAAACATTAATGCTACAATCCAATCTAATTAAGATCAACACTTTGCGGTATACATTGTCACATGCTTCAACCTGCAATAACATGATAGCACATGGTAAGATTTAAGAGCATTGATATTCATTGGAAGTCAATATGGCTACTAAAATAAAGGAATAAACGTACGGGGAAGAGAAAAGACCATATGTGCTTGTTTGTCAGTATTAAATTTCTATAGCTAAGTGATTTCAAAGAGGTTTTCCACTGGACAAGCAAAATAGTGAATCATTGTTTTTCGATCTCACTAAATTTTCTACCTTCTCCTATCCATTCCCTTAAATACACCCTGAATGTCATTCATTCTACAATTTATTGATGCATCTTTTACAAAACAAAACAAAAAAGGAATGAGATCATTTAGCAGCAGGCACATCCATCTCAAGAGTGAGACATAAGACACAAATGCACGCACGCACCACTGATCATAGACGGTGAATAATTCATATCATAGTTTAGGGTTTAAGTATTCCACCAAAATTAATAATTTGCAGAATTTTGACCTATGCCCCTTCTAGAGGAGTGAATTCTCATTTAAATAATACACCCGATAGCCCATATTTAATTACAGCAATTCCCTAATTTAAAGCTCCACAAAACTGCACAATTAATGAAATAAATGCAGATAATAAATTAGGAAATATTGAGGAGTAATTATGAGAGCTGTTTTAAATATTAAAATATATTGATAGGCAGTGCTGCTAATAATCAGGCTGATTCTATCAACACCCGCTTAAACTGATGTTGATTCAATTTTTCAACTAGAAATTTATGTCGAGGTTTGCCAAGGCCTTGTAAAGATATTGACAACCTAAATATCAGTGGAGTTACGAGGAAGAAAAATAACATGGTCATTGTAGCCTTCTCATAGATATAATGAAAACTCATTTCAATATGTTTCTTAGGTTCATGAAAAATAGGATTGACAGCAATTTGAATTGCACCAGTGTTTTCAGCATAGGGAGGAGTAGATTCACTTCGAGAGAAAAGTTACCCCCAATAACCCCCACAAAGCCAAACAATCACAAAGCAAGCAAAAGACATGACTCAATACTCTGACTCAGTTGATGATTTATAACACGAAACTATTTCTTACTCTTTCATGAAATCAGAGCATTGCCAAGACATAAATACCAACTTGGAAGCGAATGGGGATCATTCACACAAACTGCCCAATCTGCATCACTTAAAGTTTTTAATTTAATAGGATTTCCACATAGGGAAATAAAGACCTTTGTTAGGAGTACTCCTTAAGTGTCATATGATTTGCTTGTGAGTAGCTAAGTGAGGAAGACGAGGAGATTGCATAAATTAACTAACTTATTGGACTGCAAAAGCAACGTTAAGTCAAGTAATAGTCAAATAATTAAGACTGTCAACCACTTGGCAAAATAAAGAAGGATTAGCCAAAGGCTCGCCCTCATTTTATGATGCTTCCCATTTCTTCCATAGATTTTGGACAGAATGTCCCTCTTTTTTTTTATTTTTTATTTTTTATTTTATTGGCAAATGTTAACAATAGCGGTAGTTTAAAATTTTAGGACCAAAAAATATTGTAGAGAACCTAAGTCCTTCATATGAAAAGAACCAGTAAGATGTTGTAGTTACTGAATTAGGACAGGATTTAAACCTGCAATAACCATGTCATCAACAGAGTATAAGTGAACAATACCATTAGTTGTCTTCCTAAAAAACAATGAAGATTCATATTGACTGAGTGAAAAGAGAAGAACACAAGGGACATCCTCCATTGGCCTAGGGAGCTGGCCTGAAACTCAAGAACTACGAAGAACACAGATGTTTAGGTTTCAGAGCATGAGCTCTGATACCATCACAGATTTTTGATCGAATGCCCCTTCTAAAGGAGTGATGTCTCATTCAAATAATACAATGAGACAGCCCCTATTTAATTACAACAATCCCTAATATAGGGCTACACAAAACTGTACAATTAATGAAATAAATACAAAGAATAAATTAGGAAATATTGAGGAGTAATTATAGGAGCTGTTTTAAATGTTAAACAATGCTATAATCAGGACAACTAACCATCAAACTGATTCTATAAACAAAAATTACCTTTCCTTACTACAAATTTATGGGGACTCTCAAACCATCGTGAGCAAGCTGCACAGGAATTCCTTCCCTAAGTACAATAATAGAAGAGTCAATTCTGTCATTTCCTAAAATTTACAACATATCATAAAGTAATACTCCCAAAATAAGTGTCATGTTAGCTTATAATACTATCAAAATATAGCAATATTCTCTGTCTCATAATAAATGTCATGTTTGAAAGAAAAATAAGTCTCAATAATTGTCATTTTTTTTCATTTATACCCATCATAATATTCTTTAGAAAGTAGATTAATTATTAGGTTAATTTTGTAAAATTATTTTTCTATTTCATCTATTTATTTATTATATTATAAATGCATTTGCAACAGTTTTTACTTCTTCAAAAAAGAACAAGGCATATTATACCTTCTGGACCACTCTGTCAAAAACTCATTGTCTTTATGGTGATCAAACTCGTGAGTCAAACCAATAAGTAGAGTTTGCTTTGGACACAACCTCTTCACAGTTTCTAGAGTCTGTAAAATTTCCAATGAATAACAATATTTCACCAAAAGGGTCAGGAAGATATGAAGTGTAAACATTATTTATTATTATTTTTTATCTCTTTGTAAACTGGAAAACAAACCTGTGGAAAACAAAGGTGAACATTGTGTGACCCAGTCTGCGATAACACAAAGAACAAAGGAAACATGTATCACCAAAAACCTAAAGAAATACCAAAACTAAAACACAGAATTGTCGTGTCTCTGAAAATTCTCACTTCCAAATGATCAATAATGCAACTTGATATTTATGTTTTCTAAGCAATGAAAGGACAGAGGGTTTTATTAATTTAAAGTTGAAGATGAAAGTGCATGAAAATTTTTAAAGGATTTAGGTCTAGCACATATGGAGTAATCATATTATCTGCCTTCTTTGATAAATTATTAAACATACAATACAACAAATACGTGATGTCGGTCTTGTATAAGAAAAATAAAATGTAAGTGAAAATTACTCCTTTGAAGAGACACTAATATTCCACAAAACAAATTAACAAAACATTGAATCAGATCAAGCAGTAAGAAACAACAGTTACAGAAAAAGCACTTTATAACAAGAATCAGACAATAATGATGCAACAGACCAGAAATCAAGCATGTCAAGTGACAAGAAATAAAAAACTTTCCTTAAAAATTCATACATAAGATACTCATGCATGTTGAGTGTGCATGCATTTATGCCGTTCGTGCATGAAGAGATCCTTGGTATATCATGCATAAATGTACATCGTTGTACAAATACAGTGGCAGAACATAACAAACATTATATATGTAGAAAATACAGCATGAACATCATATTTATATTCTAAACCCCAAAAAAGTTGAAAATGGAACTACTGACCCTATACAATGAATCCAATATGAGAAGATCCAACTGTCCAGCTCCACTTTTTGAGATGACTGTAAAAAGAAATATATTGCTAGATATAAGATGTTGAAAATCATAATTTATCTAAGAGTTTTCTCATTATGTGTAAATACTTCAAACATCAATTTTTTTTATTCTGGGGTTGATGATTTTATTGCAATCCAAAATGCTACACATGCTGTCCAAATTACAGAATGGCAGTGTGCATCAAACTGCCAAAATGAACAATCCATGACTGATCTGTCTTTCTTTTTCCAGTTAAGAGATAAAGAGAGTCAGAATATAATTTAATAAAACGGGAGGTTCTAGCAAACATTCCTTCCAATACACCCTACTAGTGATTAAAATTTATTAAAAATTACGAAATCAAGAATGAAGTTCATTAAATAAGAAGTGAGACCTAAAAAGTTGTGATTTCCAATAAATTTCAATTTATAATAGAGTGTAATACTAGTGTTTCTCATGATAAAACACAAGATATCATAGATTATTCAGATCTTAGAGCACTGGTACATAAATGTGTATGTCCAAGCAGGAAGAAACTAATTCAAAACATACCATACTCTGTACTAGGAGGAATCCGGGAAACATCAGATATATAAGCTACCCTGTTTTTCTCACCAAAAAGAAAGCCCAAACAGATGTAATCCTCTCCATGCATAACCTACATCCACAAAGTAAACAGTCAATTCCCTATAATATAAAGGAATATTGCATTATCACCATTGATGACAAAGGTTGTGGCAAGTAACTGGTAAAGGAGTGAATTTTAATCCTGATGCAAAAAAAGGTTGATTGCAGTCATCAGCAATAATGTTCCAGTCAATTTGAGCCACCCTTCGTATTTCTTCTCCTTCCTTACGCTTTTTCCGAACCAAATAAGGAAACTTCTCTGCTATACTGTTGCAAAGATTCAAAACATGGATTCAAATACTGGAGAGCATAAGACAGCCATGAAATCAAATGCAAGGGGCATAATTCTGAGACAGAAGTTGCATTGCAATCAAAACCATTTTCTAGATATCAAGCACCCAAATACAATGGTTGAGAAGTGCACCCAATGCACTGATTTCATCTCAATGACTCATGATAAAATATTTTCAGAAAGGCTAATTTTCCAAGCATTTAATTGAGTTCTTGCATGTTGAAAATCAAAGAGCCTTACTGATCAATAGAGTGCCTTTAAAGTTTTAACTGACTGACTACCACAATTAACAGTACAACTTGCTGCCTTTTTTGTTAAATAATCATAAAATACATGCAATGAGAATAGTTTGAAAAGACATGTGATAAAATGTTATGTGTTCATCCATATCTTCTTAAAGAACTATTAAGTTTATTTAGTGTGCAAGTGATATGTCAGAACTTCCTGTTTAAGCAAGTAATACAAAATATAGCAATGGTCCCATATATGGGGTGTTTTCTAAGACAATTTACCCACTATAGGCTAAATTGTTGAATTCTTGATATTCAGGGTATTTGACTTAACAATATTGCAATTGAGCCAGGAATGATGGTTCTGTTACTATTTGATGGTTAGGATTACATTGTAATGTAGTAGTGTCTCATTAAATCATAAGAGATTTTTGCATGCACTATGCAGGTTTTTTTAAATGGAGGAAAGTTAAATGTAATATCAGTTAAATCAGGTATGAAGTGTTAATATTATTAATATATAATTTAATTGAAAAACAAGGTGCAGCTACTAATTACCTATCCATTGAATGTTGACTCAAGTATATGGGTGTGGGATCAATATCATTTGTTGGACTAAAAGGCTGCACAGCACGTATATCATCCAATCCAAGGACTGCATCGGCATGTTCATGAGTTAAAATTATCTGCAATGCAAGCACAAATTAAGTTTGTATATTCAGAGAATGTAAACTTCAGGTCAATACAAATTGCACGGAAATAATATAGATAAGATACAATAAAAATATGCTAAACACATAATTGTAATCAATCCATGTTCTTGAGTTTCACACTTCAACAACAATTATCCAACTTCATGGCTTATAAATCATTTATAAATTGATTTTTCCCAAACCGACTTCCTTCCCTGTTAGAATGTAAAATTTTCTCCAAACCTCATGAATGCTGTGAGTAATTTTAAGAGGCTCTGCTCAAATTTCTGACATTCTCACAATATGTAAAATAGAAAACTTTAACCCTCACTGTTAATTAGTAATTGCATGATTCATTGTTTTGTTTGCTCACCTTACCAATTACATTAATGTTGGAAATTTCAAGTCAACTAGTGATATGACCAAAATATAATATATAAGTGAGAAACAATCCTAAACAATCAGACAGTTTTGAAAGGTGAAATTAGGTCCAAAATCACATTTATCTCTTTTTCAGGATCTCTTTATTCTAGATAGGATTGTTTATCACGTTTCTTTATTTTAGATAAGATTGTTTTCTTGTCAAGGTTGCCTCCATTAATGAAAGGAGAACAATTTGGGGTATTTGAATGAATGGAGATTTTTTGGTCTCTCGAAGCACCAACAGCACTGTAGGATCCCAGCATGTTCTATCAATATCTTTACCAGCATATATCTGAAATGGAATATCCCTTAAAAAATCAGGTGCACTGAGATAGCCAAACTCTTCTAAAGCATCTCTCTCTGATGAATAATAAATACTAATTTTCTGATAATAATAACCTATACTTTTACGAATATACTCGGCTCAATATGACCTTGATTATTATCGTGGATAGTAATAAACCTTCATCTTTTGACTTTCTGCGCTCATCTGACAGACTGAGTCAGTCTTCTAATAAGATCATGAAACCGAAGTAAAAGACCATTTTCTCTGTTCCAAATATCTACAGAAGACAAATTACAGAAAGAGGAAGCTAAAGGAAACAGAGAGATCCCGATACTCAGACTAGTATGCCATTCTATCCCTAGGTTCGGCATCTTTTAGAGAGACACCAACAGAAGCATTGTTAGAAACATCCATGACATCATTCAAGAAAGGACATTGTCTATAGCCCAAAAGCCAAACATGTATTCAATCCAAAACTAGAACCAACTTATGCATAAGTTAAAATAAGATTTTGGAGAAACTAATAAGAGAGAACTTCAACAAATTAGCTTATGCACAAGCTAATTAGCTTAAATTTTAACTTATGAAAAAATTTATTTCATTTTCCTTTTATTTTTTTCTTCCTAGAAGTGCTTCTATAGAAGTCTAACTAAGCCAAGCAAGGAATAAACACTGCCAAGACATCAAAAAGCCATGCCTTGGTATGAAATGCAATATAAACGGAAACAACAAATTGCTTTCTTTCTTTCTTTCTGCCTTTCACTTTTAGTTTCTTATGAGTATTCTGATTGGGAGAAAATGTGAGGCAAGGGTGAGCACTAATTGCAGAAACTTCCCCGGCGGGAATTCGAATCTTGGTTCGCTACGTTATGGAAAACTAGTCCTTCAATTAGACCCAAACCTCTGTTGGCAACAAATTTACTTTTCATTTTTCCAAGCCATTATTGAAAGACATTGAAATTTGAGCAGCATTTGCGCACGAGGGAAGCATCGAAACATTAAGAAGGCATCTTCACTAAAATTCACAGCGTTAAGTGAACTCACAGAATCAACTCTGGGAATCCGATGCGAAACGAACCAGCGGAGCACGGTCTCCCTGAACGTCTTGCCGACGTCGATCAATATATAGCTGCGAGCACCGGTGCTGGGTTGGCAGTAATCGATTAGGAGAGAAGTGTTGCACCTGTGGATCGAGATCTTGAAGCGAGGTTTGGAAACGAAAGGAGAAAGAAGGGGAAAGCGAAAGAGGACCTGTAATTAGGGTTGCGTTCGGGAGGGAGAGAGAGGGACTGGACGCAGACGGAGCAGGGAGGGTCGGAGGGCTGAAGGAGGCACATGATGTTGGGGACCATGCTCGAACAACCGGTGCCGAGGAAGATCAACGCCGATTCCGAAGAAGTACCTGCGCCGCCGACGAAGCCATTGGAGCTGGCCATGCCGTCCCGACGGATCCGGAGATTGCAGACGGTAAAGGAGACTTCGTGTGCCGTGCTGCGTTCTGATGCGTTCTGCGGAGACAACACTCCGACGAGGGGGTGTCCTATTTATATGTAGATTCACACCCGCCAAAATCATTTATTATTTATGATTTATTTTTCTGATTATTACTTTCGCTTCTTTCTAAATTTTTTTTTCTCTGGTGTTTGGTTTTCGTGTCCAGCTTCAACGGTTGTTATTTTCTTTTTTCATGGACAAATTTCATGTATTTTTCCAAAAATTAATTACTAAAAATTAATGTCATTTTTACACTTGTGAAAATCTAAACTGGGAACACGAGATTTATGTTGGCAGAAGAAAAAACAAATAATACTAATACTTATTGGAGTTTATTCGTACAGTGCATTTTTTTTAAAACGGTTTTTAATTGTTCTATTTTTATTTTATAATATTAATAAAGTTTAAATATTTTTATTATACATTTCACTATTTAATAAGTAGTGAAAATAATTATAAATGAAAGTGACTGTAATTAATAATATAAATAAATGATATATTAAAAATTCTATAATATTTTTTATAAAATTTGAAATATTAATTTCAAAATTATGAGTCAACACTTTTTTTCGTATAGAGCATATATTTTTTCTGTATTAAAGTTAATTATGTTTGAGTAGGATAAAATTGTTTCTTCATTAAATATTAAATATTGGACACAGATGTATATATCTAAAATTTAAAATTTAAAATATTAATTAAATTGAAATAACTTCTTGATTTATTGTAAGACTCATACTCGGGAACTCTTTTTCTTATTTTTTTTCCTTTCATTATTTTTATTCTCATTCCCTTTCTTGGCTGTTGGCATTTGATTTGGAAGGTTGAGTTGATGAGAAACAAGGAAAACAATAAGGTTATTGTTAGAGTCTTCCTCTCTAAAGCATTTTCATTCTCTTCTTCTTCTTCTTTTTCTTCATTCTCGTAGGCTCAAAGCTCAGATTTTTAATATGATACGAGTTAAGGAAAGCTAGAATCTTGGCTTGTTGATTGAATTGAAACTTATAATTTTTTGAATTTATGAAAATTTGAGCTTTGGGAGTAGATATGTAGTTGGTTGCATGTTAAAAGCTGAAACCTTGTTATTTTTTATGATCTCTTTGAAATCTTGATGCATGCATGTGGTGTTTCTTGGGGTTTCTAGGTTGTATGAACAAAATGAGTAAAGATTATGAAGGTAGATCATGTTTAAGGGTAAAAATTGATAGATTATAGGTGAAAAATGAAGGTGAAAAACCATGAAAGTGCAAAAAGCTTTGCACTCAGCGTTAGAGTGCTAAACCAATGTTATAGCTGTGAGAAAAAAATAAAGAGGTCAAGATCTAGTGCTGCAGCTCCAGGTTGGGCGTTGCAGTCCTGGGAGGAATTGATCTGGAAGAGATTTTGCATTGTAACTCTAAGAGAAAACAAAGTTGGTAGAAAGTGAAGTTGGAGTGTTGAATTGAGTGCTGCAATGCCAAGGGTAGATGAGCGAATTTGGTCTTGTGATCTTCATGAAAGTTGTAGCCTTGGATGTTAGCTTTACAATGACGTTTAAATCACCCAAAAAGGAGGTCTAGAACTTCATTTATGACCTTTTTAGTAAGAAAAGATCAAGTTGTCAGGAGTTAAACTAGTTGTTGCGGTTTTTACATTTTTTTAACAAGGTAGATGATAGAATTATGGCTTGATGTCTTCATGAGAGTTGTAGGATATCTTCTTGTCTTTCATATGAGATAATGAGAATGATAGGAGTAGTATAAATTCATATATGCTATTTTATGTGAAGATTGTCATTTCACATTAAGTGATTGGGTTAAATTGAAAGTTATTTTGGGTGCTTAGGTTGATTTGTGTTTTTTATGTGTGTAAGTTGTCATGATAGATGAGTTGTAAATATGTAGTATGAGTTGTATTATGTGATAAAAATGTTGTGTTAATATAAATGATAAAATGTTTAATAATGATGATTGTTGTAGTATGATGAGAAAACATAGTTGTGAGTTGAGAGTTGGATGTTGAATCCTAGTTGTGTAGAGGTGTAGAGATGGTATCTAAGTTGTTGAGATGACTATGATGTTTGAGTTGTGAGTTGAATGAGATGCTGAGATGATAACTGTGTTATTGTGCTATGATGATGAGTTATTAATCACTAGGACTAGGGGAGATGATTTTGAAGTCGCTCATCTCATTGGGTGGATCGAGATAATTGTGGTGCTTTGAGAGCCCAATTTGTTGAAAAACCCTTCTTTGAAAGTTGTCCCTTAGAGTGGATGATATGTTGTTCTCCTCTAGGACTTAGTTGGTCCCGTGTGTGAGCAAGGTTGAGGCACACATATATAAAGTGACCATAATATAGGGACCAAGTTGAACTATACCGTTTATAAGCGACCAATTTGAGTAAAGTACGAAGTCAGGAACTTAGTTTCTAACCGAATATCGAAAGGTTGTAATATTTAGAGGATAGTTAGTAGGCTAATCCCATAGGTGTCTTAGTTAAGCTAGCTAATGCCATGGTAGGCCTAAACCCAACTATCCTATCCTGACATAGTACTATACTTTCTTGTTTAAGTGACAAAGTCTGAGAAACCATTATCATGTTGTGGATTTTTATCTAAATTTGTTGTTTACCTAGCAAGCCCAAAAAGTTATGTGTTATCGGTTTGATAAGACCTAACCACTTAGACTATTTATCCTGTGTTGTAAGAGATTTTTGAGTTGAAATGTGTGATGACACATATGTGTTGATGAGTTGATATTGTGATGATATGAGTTGTATGTGTTGATGTGTTGTGAAGGTGTTATTGATATGTGTGTTATTTACGTGTTGTGTTTTGTATGTTGAACTAGTTGGTGATGATAGTGATGTTAAGTTGCTAGTGTTGTAAGTTGCTTTTCTATATATGTGTTATTTATTTTCATAACTTATCCCTACATGTTTCTATGTGATTTAGACTGCGATGATCATACGATATATGGAAGTATGATAGAGATAGGTTGAGAGATAACTGTTAGAGGCAACAGGAGGTGCCTGAAGTAAATGTTTCTTTTGTAGGCTACCTTATAGTAACATATTTTGTTGTATATAGTTAGATGTTTTTGTTTGTTTTCTTAGCAACTTGTATTGTAAATATTCTTATTATACTATTTTAATATATATTTCAGTAATGTGTTGTATTGTTCCGCAGTATAACGACCATGATGGGTCGTTACATTCATGAATTTGTTGGTATATGTAACAAAATAATATGAAAAAATAATTTTTTGTAATATTTTTAAATATATATAAAAATGCATTTTTTATAGTGATTAAAATAAATAAAAAAAATAACATCACATACAAGAATCAAATTTAACATTATTATAATTTTGATATATGGCAAGATCGATTCCGAAACAATTTTACATGTGGAATAAAAATCAAAATGTAAAAGTACAGCGATTAAAATAAAAAGACATAAAATATAAAGGCTAAATTAATAAATCAGTTGAGCCTATAAAATTTGGCTTTATTTTTTATTATTATTATTCTTTTTTTTACATATATATATTGGTTTAGTGACAAGGGAATGGAATAATTAATAGATCTTAGATTGAAATTTTGTTTTCAATGATATTTATGAAGGGTGGTAGGTATGTATACTTCTTTCCCATTAAAAATAGTTAATTGTTTATAAATGAAAAGTTATAAGGGATTTAATTTTATTTTAAGGATATTTTTATCTTGTAATTAAATATTTTAAAACTTGTAAATAATAATAATAAAAATATTCATTCACACAATAAATTTTTAAATATATATTTTTCTTATAGCAAGACAATTTAGCTCAAAAGAAGAGTCATCTAAAAATTATTAAGTATCGTGGAGAGTTAATAGTTGTATAAGTTGGGATTAAATGTGTCAACATATAAATAGGTTTTTTGATATTAATTTATATTCATCTAATCAATAGTACCCCTTTCCTTATTTATTTAATTTTTAAGTGTTATTGAATATAAACCTTATTTTTCATTACATTCAGATTTTTTTTTACTCTCTATCTTCATTGTTCATTAAACTTTATTTTTTATTTCATTTTTATTATTCTTTAATTCTTATTTAAAACAAAAAAAAACCTTATTTTAAATTTTTTACACGTTTCTTTAAAATAAATAATATATACAAATAATAATTTAATTTAATATTAACGACTTTCCTATACATGCCATTCGGTACATGTCAATTGATTTAATATAAAAACTTTATCTCTTCTTTATACCCTTTACATCTATTTGCATCAATTTTTTTTCTACCAAAAATAAAAATTTGTCCCTATAATTCCATTGTTCACATTAAAATTTTCGTTCCATTAAGTACTACAGAGATATTTTATTATATTATATATTTCATTTTTTGAATGTTTCCTATATTATAATATTTATTTTAACCATTACACTAATAAATATGATAAAAAGGTATGACATATGAACAAGTACATATTATTTTTTATTTCATTTCAAATAAAGTAGGAAATATTTTAAGATATAATATAAGGTTAATAGTATAATTCATAATATAATAAAATATAATAATTGAAATATATTATGAATTTATTTGAATAACTTTCTTTACAAGTATTTATAGAAGAAAAAAAATGAAATTATTAGAAGAAAAAAATGAAATTATTTTTATAAAAGTTAAATTTAACTTGTCTAATTTAAAAAAGTTCTCCTGTATTAAATTCTTCAAAATATATTATTTAACATATGGAAAAATTTTAGTTTATAAAAAAGATAATTTTTTTTTTCTAAATAGGATTGCTTATAGAAAAAAGTTTATTCAAATATAACTCTAAGTATAACATGTAGAATATATATATATATATATATATATATATATGTGTGAATTGGATGGGGTAAAGGCCCCCAAACCAACGATACAATTAAAAGTCACTAATAATGGATAACATGCTTCCGTAAAAGGAATCAAACCAAAGTCAAGAACATTATTAAAAATAAAGCAATCAAATTGAAGAGAAGCTTCATACTTAAAAATGTGAACATATTCGCTTCTCTCATACCGTGCTTGAACATACAAAATGACCTTTTATTTTAGGTTCACAAAGATATACAACTTTATTAGCGAACAAAATCTACACCAGATACTTTAAGATCGTTGCTATGCAATGAATGCCAAGTTCATTCCTTGCCAAGAGAGAAGATGAGCTTATTTGACAATGGCTACAAAGGTGTGTTAGATATCCATCTACTGTACATTGCAAAGCATTCTTCAGGCTTGTACTCCGGAGCTGTGTGCCCTCCTCCCTGAAATTATATATATATATATATATCAGAAATAAACAATACAATTCTCAAATCATTCTTACAGTTTTAAAAGAAAGAATTCCCTCGTTCAATCTATACTTGCCTTCACAGTTGCAAATGTCATGCGATTGGAATAAGTCCTTGTGTATCTACTTGCACAAAAACAAATATTAAGTACATGATTCAATTAGCTTTTTAGATAAATTAAGCCTAACTATCTAGCAGAATATACCCCGCAACTTGGCCATTTGTTTGCCACTGCCTCCAATCATCCACAATGGAGTAGTTTAAAGATCTTATCCATGCTTGAGTTGCCAAGAAAGGAATTTCCATGTCATGATCGCCACTGTTAGCAACATAAAAAATTTATTTGCCATGTGAAATTCAAATTAGTTAATTTGTGCTACCTTAGAGAAAGAATATTGACCTGTATATGAGTGAACGATAACCTTTTTTACTGAGATTTACGTGATAATCATAGCTGCTTGAGATATCATTCTTGAATGGTATATTAATGTTACAGCGATGCCATTTTCCTATACTTCCCTGCAACCAATCTTTATGTTATATGTAGTTGTATTGCTAACTAACTATGTGAGAAAAATACTATCGCTCGAGTCAACTATACCTTACGGATATGCAGTGCATTGCGAACATTATCATCGTTGGCCCAATAACCGCAGAGGAAGTATACATAACTCTAATGGTGAAAAGGAAATAAAAAATTAACACATATTTGGAGATTTTGGCTGCATATGCAACCAATATATGACAGGAAAGGATAGTTGGTTTAGAAATGGCATATGAAACAATAAATCCATGCAAGGTTTAATGAGATGGTCATTGCATAAAAATATGGAAAAGAAGCATTGAGTGAACGTATCAGATTGTATAAGGCATGAAGATTACCCGACAGCTTAAGAGTGGCAATTTGAGAAGAGTATTTAAGAGCTTCTTCCCGGGATATTTCTTAATTAGAGATCTCCTCCATGATGTTTCAGTATCAAGCCACTCGCATGATGGGTCTAAAATATATGCATGATTTAGTCCTGATGTTGCCTGTGGCAATAGAAAAATGATTGACTGTGAGACTAGAAAATCTACTAGTGAAAATTTGATAAGGGAATAAGGGACAGAAAAAAAGAAGATGCGTACTTTATCGAATGACTCCATATCTCTATAACATAATAGGTTTCTGGTGTCTACATTTATGTACTCCCCTTTGCAATTTTTTTGCAGTGACTGTTCATTGCAATAAGAGAGATCCGTTAGCATTTAACTCTTGTTTCTTCAATACTATCTTTTCTATTGATGAATTATTATGAAATTACCTCGTATAGTTCATCAGAAATTAGTCCCATACCATGAGCAAAGGGGATTTTATAGTTTTTTTCCTTTCTAGTTGTTGCTGCATTCCCCAGCAGGTACCCCTGAAGAAAATAACTTTTCATAATCAATCTGGAAGATGTTAAACAATACCATGCATTGCAGCTTCTCTTACTAGTGGAATACCAAACCAATGAACAAGATTTTTATATTTATTTATATAATTATTCTCTATTTTATTATTATTATTATGGATTAACATTAATTAATAAATTATATTTATATGTTAATATCAATTATATAGTACATTATTATTAATTTATGGATAATGCATATTGGACTTTTGATGAATGGTTCGTGATGGGTTGAATGTTTAGTAACCTAGTAAGGATATAAAACTGGTGTTCTATTAATCAGTTCATAAGAAAAACATTTATGTCCTATCGGAAAGAAAACAACAATCTTCTCTCAAAAAACAAAAGAGATGGATTCCTTATTTATTTCGGGTACGCAATTCTTTCTAAACCTTACTCAAACATATTATAATATTGTATCTTATGTTGTTCATTGTCTGGTAATTACTATATATTTTTTAACAAATTGGCCATTCAATGTAGGGAAGGGTTTATTTTATTTTGTTAAAGGATGTTTCTCCACAGTTATCCAAAAGATTATCATATAATTAAATGCATACAATTCCACTATTCTGAAGTCATTTGTATAAACTCTTAATTTTCTCCTTATATAAAGTCTTCTTGTTTATAGTTTTTCATTAGAAAAACAATGAAGAACCTCTTATTTTGCATCAATGCACATCTTTGACGAATGATATATCCTCCAAGGCAAGGGTAGTGTACTCATCTATTCAAATCACAGTTGGAATTAAACAATTTATACTTTTATGTTCAGTATCACAGTCAGTTTAATCAAACTAATTGAACATTTTAATATTTAATATCAACCTACTACTTTGAATATAGTCAAGTGATGAGTACTTGAGTAGTTTGCAATAGATCTTAAAGCCAAACTTTCATGGCTTTATGCTTTCATTGTACAAAACCAAAAAAATGTGTATTTGATGTTTTTAGTCCAAGACTTCCATTTTTCACATTTCTACAACACTCAAGATACGTTTTCTCCGCTAACTCTCCCCACACATACATTATAGTACTCATTAAAATAAATTTACATTTTTAACATAAGGTCCGATTGTTTAAACTTAGAAAGAAGTATTTCTAAACAATTTAAAAAAAAAAAAAACTTTAAGAAGTAGATAGGAGTTACTTCTAAAAAAAGTAGAAAATTGTTTATTTAAAAAAAAATAGATAAAAACATTAATTTTTTTATAAAAAAAAGTGCTTATTTTTATAAGAAAAAAAAGTTTAAATAAATAGACTCATAAGAGATAAAGATTCTAACCCGGAGATTTATCCATGGTTGGACCCCTTTTTCATTTCCTGAAAACAAGCAAATTTGCCAATAATTAAACTTTCAACGCAGTTATAGCAAGTAGCAACCTATGATAATCCAATGAGGCTGGTGGGAAAATATGATGTACATATCAATCGTCATCAAACAGTCAAGTGGATATTAGCTTCTACATATGTTTGTTTCCATTTTTGCCGCACACATTGAATCATATACGAGTTTTTTTACCTTGTGAAATTTCTTGAACAATCACTGGAATAGGAATACCAGAGTATGAATCGCCACCAATGTAAACTTGATTTGACAAAAAATTTGGATGATCAATCAACCACTACAAACATTTGAGCATGATAGTCACAACATAATTGACTAACAGATTTAGCTGCAATCAAAAGGAAAAAAAGGTGATAATTGTGAAATAATAAAAACAATAAAATTTGTAGGAATACCTTCCTAAGAAATTGATGGACATGGTGAACCAGCATCCAGTCACTTCGTTGAGAAGCAGACTCTGTTGTGGCATAAGTGAAGCCCGTGGAAACAGGCAAGTCTACAAATATAATGCTACTAACCTACCAAGAATAGTTATGATATTAAATATCAGCAAGTAAATAAGCCTAACACAAAAAGGATATGATGAAATAAAAGTTTATATATATATATATATATATATATATATATATATATATTTGTGGCAACAAAAATGTGGATGCATACAGATACAGAGCACCTTTGTCCATGAGTGTGGTCTCAAGACCAAATTGGGCAGGCTTCCATTGTATTCCTCATATTTGAATGCTAGGGGACCTGCAACACATAGATAAAATGAACATCTAAGTATCAGCTATTGTAAGTCTTTTTCTTTTTTTAACCATTGTATTGATTTGAAATGTCTTTTTTTTTTTTTTGGTAATTTAAAATATCTATTATTGAAAATAGTAACTAATTTTTATCCGAAACTATAAATATAGGTGAAGTAAATATTTATCTTCCATCATACTTTATTCCATATCTAAAATCATAATTCATATTTTGAACTACTTATTTAAGAAAGATAAGTATTACTTATTTAAGAAACATAAGATTTACTTGTAAAGATTAGTATTAATAGCTCTTGTAGTGTAGCACGTGCATAAGTATGAAGTAAATTAGAAATTGGAAAACAAAATGTTGGTATCACCTATTTCAAAGACAAGGCCAGACAAGGCTGAGCAACCAGGACCGCCAGTGAGCCAAAGCATGAGAGGATCCTCCTTTGGATTGTTCTCTGACTCAATGAAGTAGTAGAAGGTTTGCACATCATCTGATTCTCCCACTCCCACATACCTATTCAACAAATATAATCAATGTAGCATGTTTATAAGATTCATGTAAGTGATTTTAATCCCATGAATTTAAGATACAAAACTATGGCCTTATTAGCTAAATGTAATGTAACTGACCCGGTTTCAAGAAGAAAAGGAAGGGGCCCCTCGAATCCAGGAAGGAACTTAACTATGGAACCACAGGATGCAAGTTGAAAGGAGAAAGATGATAGCAACAGAAAGGGAAGTACAAGTCCATGATAAACGAAATCAGAAGTAGCGTAAGTTGAACTAAGCTTTGCCATTTCTAGTGTTCTCTCCCTTTTCTCTGTCAGCATCTATTGCGATTGATGGTTTTCTAATACCACTACTCTCTCGGACTTTCCAAGAGACAGATCATTCCAATGATCATCCATGCTTATCAAAATAACACACGTCTCTTGTCACTTCCTACTTCATAAGGACTTTTTTTTTTTTATATATATATATATATATAAGCATTATTTA